GAGAAAAAAAAATTAGGAAGAGCTGGGAAAAAAAGGGGCAGGATCCAGGAAGAGTTCCCGGCCTCGAAGCCATCGGGTGGGGGTGGGGCTCACTCAGCAGAAGGTGTGGTGCATCTGCCTGGGTCACTCTGCAAGTCTGAAGGCAGGCAGGAATGAGGCCTTTCAACCCTGTACACTTTCTTCTAACCTCTTGATTAAAACAGTTTAAAGTCTGCCTTTGGCGTGGAAATGATTCTGAAATTTCAACAGGGCAGTTGAGGGAGGAGGGTGTGGAGTGGACTAGTGGAAGTAATGAGCCTGCTTTTGACCTCTTCTGCCCGCCGACAAGATCCAGCACATGGCTTCGTCTGCCAGCCTTCTGGCTCCTCCTGGCTCTATAGTGGCCAAGTCCCAGCATTTCTGGGACAGAGCTAATTGCACACAGTCCCTCCCTTTTATCACCAAGACTGCACTCTTACTTGTCATACTCCTATGTCCCATAATGAGCTTCAGAAAATACGGTCACCACAGTTCTGTTTGTTTCTCAGACTTCCCAGAAGAGAGCTCTCGCTGCTGTATGTATCTATCCTGCTATAAGAGCTTCATTCTCCCCATGCAAATCAAAACTTAACCTTGGGCAAAGCACTCAACTTCTAACCCCCTCACTTTCATGCCTACTTCATGCATATTAGATGGGTCATTTATTTACTTATTCATTTCATTTAATTGAGCTCACACTCTGGCATATTTTTTAACTGGCAGTTGAGCGAGCCGATCTTATGCAATCAGAAAACAACTTGATTCTTTCCTTCAGAGCTCTTCTGATGGTGAGCTCTTCCCTGAACCTGGAGGTGATCTAGGGCAGATGGCAACACTCCAGGATAATCAAAGATCCTCTCTTTGATTATCAAAAGACTCCTTCCAGTCTCCAGGACAGTCTTACTTCAGTAATTAAAATGTCCAGTCATGTGTAATCTAAAGTTTCTCCCATCATCAAGCTGCTATCACAGGAAACCTGGGGTAGGAATAAAGAGAAAGGTTCAGCCTTTCCTCCCATTCCCTCTCTTCTTATAACTCACCAGGCTTCCTCTAGTCTCTCGTATAAAAGAAAGGGGAGAATACTAGGAAAAACAGAGGGTTGGGGTAGGAAAACCTTACTTGGCTAGCTCCCAACTATTACAGCATTGGTCTCCTCTGGCCACGGCAGATGTTCGAAGTTCATGCTCTCTAAGTTGGGAGGCTGACCACATTGACTCTGGCACAGGGGGTGCGTCCATGGGTTCCTGGAAGGCCCCCGCTGGAATACTAGTAGTTCTTCCTGTGACTTGGACAACAGTTGCTCCTGTTATTTCCCTCGGACTGTGGGAGTACAAGGGATACACTCACTACTTTGGCCTGTCCTTTGAGGAAGGATTGGAAATAACTCCAGAGAAGAAGGGATGAGCTCTAGAACAAGGCCCATAGGGTGATGGGCAGCGTGTGGGCTGGATTTCAGGCCCCCCACAGGGAGAGTGCCCTCATGTAGCACACAGTTTGCACTGGCTCTGCAGTGGCCCTGCCCATAACTGGAGCCTCTCGGATTGGTCAGACATCAGACCTTGGTGCCTCTCAAACTCCTGGGGACAAGCTCCCCATGAGGCGCCCTTGAAACTCCTCTCACAAGGATTGACATGAGGGGAAGCTCCCGCCCCTTCTTCTTGGAAGACCCCTGAGACACTGCTCATTTCTTCTCCCTAACTCCCATCCTCTCTGGCCTCTTTGCCTCAGCCCTTTTATTCCCTTGGAGTGGTTGGGGGTCTATGTGTCATAAAATCATTCTTGGTTTTTGAGTTTTGGGGGTTTTGTTTTTACTTGTTTGTGTTACCATGTCCTATATAAGGTCCCTAGTCTGGAACCTATCTTCAGAATATGGAGTCTTTGGAAACTATTGGCAAAATGAAAAGGGAACCCACTGTATGGGAGATCATATTTGCCAATGATACACTGGGCAAGAGTTTAATCTCCAAAATATATAAAGAACTCATATGGCTCAACACCAGGAAGACAAACAATCCAATTTAAAAATGGGCAAAGGGTCTGAATAGGCACTTCTCCAAGGAAGATATACAGATGGCCCATAGACATGTGAAAAAATACTCAACATTGCCAGCAACCAGAGAGATGCAAATTAAAACCACAATGAGCTATCACCTCACACCTGGCAGAATGGCTATCATCAATAAATCAGGAAATAAGTGCTGGTGAGGATGTGAAGAAAAGGGGACCCTAGTGCACTGTTGGTTGGAATGCAGACTGGTGCAGCCACTCTGGAAAACAGTATGGAGTTTCCTCACAAGATGAAAAATGGAACTGCCTTTTCACCCAGCGATTCCCCTTCTGGGAATATATATACATTTTATATATATATAAAAAACCTGAACTACCAATTCAAAAGAACCTATGCGTTCCTATGTTCATAGCAGCATTATTTACAATAGCTAAGATTTGAAAATAGCTTAAGAGCCTATAAGTAGATGAGTGGATGCAAAAGCTATGATACATTTACACAATGGAATACTACACAGCATTAAAAAAGGAATTCTTACCTTCTGAGACAGCGTAGATAGAACTGGAGACTATTATGCTAAGTGAAGTAAGTCAGGCAATAAAAGACAAATACCACATAATCTCAATTATAACTAGAATCTAAGGAACAAAATAAATTAATGAGGAAAATAGAACCAGAAGCACAGAAACCAGGAACAGACCGACAGTTGTAAGAGGGAATTGCGGGGAGGTTGGGACTGGTTGGAAGATGAAGGGGTTAGACCAAGAACACACATGCATCGCCCATGGGCATGGACAACAGTGTGGGGATTGACTGTGGGAAGGCGGGGCTGGGGGGACAGAGGTAAAGAGGGGAAAATTGGGAAAACTGCAATAGCATAAACAATTTTTTTAATTTTTTAAATATGCAGTCTTTGGCCAGTTACTATGTTCCCAGCCTCTGAACCTCAGCTGAAACCAGAGCAGGACAGGTCATACTTTAACATCCTGTTCCATATTATTTATTCCACTTTAATCAAGGTCTCTTAACTCACAAAACCTTTTTTAAACAATAAAAATTGGGGTTTTTAGAGAGGTTTTGCCCTTTTCAGCTTTCTAAAATTACTAAATATATTGTCCAGGCAACAAAATGCAGAGTTTGCCTCATAAAAACTAATTAACACTATATAGAAAAATGTTTAAGAACACTGTGGTGAATAGAAAACAAACTTTAATGAAATGTACCATGGTTGTTTGGAACAGCAAACCTGGGAGATTTTTCTCTCTGCTTCTCTCTTTTTCTCTACCTTCTGATATGTTCCAGCTTTCCTTCAGTGAGCCTACACTGGTTCACAGTGCTTTATCTACAATTCCAAAGTCCGAGAAGCTATGGGGAAATGGATAAATAAACAAACAAACAAATAAATAAATAAATCTCTAAAAACTAAGGGTATTTTTCATAATTATGGCTACATAACTACTTTAACTTGAATGGAAGTCAGGTTACGTAAAGCCTTTATCTCAGTGTGAGCTTTCAAACACCTTGCTGGAGAAATAATGAAGTGTTTGCTCATGGGATGCCTCCCCAGAGCCTACAGGGAGTGTTATGTATTGTAATATAAATATATGCTCTAAAACCAAAAAAAGAGTTCTGAATTCTATAACACATTAGTCCCTAAAGGTCTCAGGTAAGGACTTGTAAGCCTGAACTTCTCTGTTCAAGAGAAAACAGAACGAACCTCACCCGAAGGCCAACAGTGAGACAGCTGCAGTGATTCCAGCCCCCGTGTCCACACACAAAAGTGCTCAGCAGAAGGAAAACAGGACTGCCACTTCAAGAAACTCTCCCAGTAGAACAAAATTCTCGAGTATCATTGTCCAGATGGGCCACTTGTTTATTCCTGTATCAATTATGGACAAGGACAGTGGGATTAAATAAATTATACAAGGCCACCCCTAGAGTTAGAGAGGGTATCAGTTTAATTCTGGCACATGGGCTGCATGAAAGTGAGGAGGACTATCAATGTAGGTTGGGTTCAATTTTCCGATGCAGAAAACCTGTGACAGTAAATTAAATAAATGATAAGGTAAATCAAGTCTAGAGGTAGGCAATTTGGGGCTAGGGTGACAGCTCCATGGTCGCCCACCTTCCCTCCTACTCTCTCAATGCTCTGCCATTCTCAACAGACAGCTTCTACTTCATGGTCCAAGACTGTTCTGGAGCCTCAGCCATGGTATCCACCTTCAGGGACCAAGAAGGGAAAGGAGTGGGGAGGGGGAGACTGACTTCTTCCTTTAAAGACATCTCTCAGGAATCACATGATACACTTCTGATTACAACCCACTGGACAGCACTTTGTCACTTAGCACTTTGTCACTAGGCAACATCCGGCTCAAAGAAGCTGAAAAATGTGGACTTTATTTCAGATAACTATTGGCCCAGTCACACATCAGAGGGTCTCTGCCCCTCTCTAAGGAAGAAGGGCAGAAAATATATTGAGAGAATACTAGCAGTATCTGTAACAAGTGGAAACACAAATAATTGAGGTTCTGTTACGGAAGAAGAAAGGGGAACTAAATTCTGATTAGGCTACCAACAATGTGTCCTGCAGCTCCACCTGGGTCTCTGAATCATCCCTAGATGAGTCCGTGTCAGATACTCAGTTGGACATCCTGTGTCACACACCCATTTCTAGAACTTGCCAGTAGAGTTATTCAAAGCCAAAACTCATAATTGAGGATGGAATTGAAGTGGTTCTCTAAAGAGATTTGTTTGTATTTTTTAGGAGTTCTTTATATATTAATGAGGGAGAAGAATAACTTTTTCTTCTATAAATTCAACACAGCAAGATAATCTCTTCAGGGCATAGAAAGAAACTATGACTCAAAGGGTGAGAGGACTCCACAGGAGTTACAAAGCCTGCTAAAAATAGAGCAAAGATCAGCTCTGCAGAGCTGAAATAGATCACTTGTTAACCCATTTCTTTATTATTTAGGGAAAATAGCTAATCCACTCCTTGCTCCCTATTCTGCAAGCAAGTTTGCTCTCGATGGGTTTTTCTCCTCCATCAGAAAGGAGTACTTTGTGACCAAGGTCAACGTGTCAATCACTCTCTGTGTCCTCGGCCTCATAAACACAGGTAAGATCAAGACATTGGAATAAATGGCCTGCAGATGGACTGTCTGCCTTACCACTGTGGGTAGGGAAAGTGCTGAACTCCCTGATTCATCTGTACTGACCTAAAAGCTAGTGAGAACTAGCTCTCATTTAATGAATGCGACAGCAGCAGCTGTCACTACTGACGCCTCTGACTATTTGTTGACCACCTTCTTTCCATTGTGACCACCAGATATGCTGAGTGACACCACGCTCATCACCTGATCTTATTATGAACACCTATAGCCTCTTGAACTCTCCATGGCCATTACTTTCCTATATGACACTTACCAAATACAAGTTTGTTTTTCTTAATAACATCACCAGTAATAAGACATAGCAGTGTATAACCCTTTGAGATGATGCACTGAGAAAGACACAGCATTGTTTTCATAGTATTCTTGCCAAAAATGCGTTACCTCACTCCCATTATAAGAGAACAATGGGCAAACCCCTGAAAGACAAGAAAAGACTAAAGAACTGTCACAGATTAAAGGGAAAATAAGCATTAAATACTAAGGGGAATACTGGATAAGATCCTGGAACATAAAAAGGACGTTAGTGAAAAAAAAAAAAAAACTAGGGCCTGTAGTTTAATTAGTAATACTGTTCCAATCACATCGTACCTGGTCTCGATAAGTGTGTGATGGTTACATATGATAGTGTGACTAGGGGAAATAGGATGAAGCATGTAAGGGAGGACTTTACAAACTTTTCATAACTTTTCTGTAAGTCCAAGTGAAGGTTGATCAGCATGATGAGAACACTATTTAAAGAGTAATTGAATAAAGTGAGTAGCAGTTACAGAACAAGAAAGAGAGAGAAAGAGACACACGGTGAAAGGAGAAGGGGTGGAGGGAGAGACAGAAGACGTGCAAGAAGAACATGAAAGTTTGGAAAGAGAGAGAAGATCACACTAGAGTTTCCTTCTAAATGAAAGCAGTTAGCGATGACAAAAAAGCAAAGCTGAATTCTCGTCCATCACTTTCTTTCTCAAATCAGTAAATCATCATCATACGGCACTCTGGTTTTGCCCACTGACACTTCCCATTAGCTACTGGGTCATCATGTGACTTCTCTCTGTTCTGCTCCCCCATGTTACTCCCTCTCCCCAACCAAAACACCCAGGAGAGGAACATGATTCAAATCTCTCATTTAATTAGCTCTAACCGCCCCCACAAATCTTCATCCGGGAAGACAGGGACTGTGTTAAGCCCCTCTTTGCCCAACAGGCCCTAAACATCCCCAGTCTTCTCCATGTATTCCCTGCAGGGCCCATGGGCACTGCCGAGCAAGCACTGGCAAGAAGCCCCTAATGCTTAAGTTATTGGTGTCAGCAGGCCTTTCACTACGTGGACTCTGCTAGTCTGGGATAACCCCACTCTTCTCTGGCCATTTTACAGAGTCAGCCAAGAAGGCCGTTTCCAAGATAGTCAAAGACGAGGGAGCTCCAAAGGAAGACTGTGCCCTGGAGATCATCAAGGCGGGAGCTCTGCGCCAGGAGGAACTGTATTATGACAAATCGATATGGCCCAGTCTCCTGCTGAGAAATCCGGGAAGGAGCATCATGGAATTTCTCTTCCTAAGAACTTTTAATGTGGACAAATTCATAAACAACTAGGAACTTCCTTAGGGCTGGGCATGATAAGGGAGCTTGGGACTGTGCTGCCTGATATTTATCTAAGCTCCACCCACAAAGGCCTCTCCCCAGGGACAGAAATGTGTCTTCCCAGAAAGCCGCAAGTCACGCCTCACATCTCACAGTTCGGAGGAGTTCCTCTAACACTTGCACGGTGGACATGTAATTGTAATATATGTCATGGACCTGCAGTTGTGTCTATGAGTTTTGCTTTGTTTTGCTTGCTTAATCCCTTCCTTCACCGTTTTCAACCAGACCCGCAACCCCCTCCCCTCTGACAGCTGTCAGCCTGCTTTCTACCTATGGATCTGTTTCTATTTTGTTTGTTAGTTCATTTTGTTCATTAGATTTCACGTATGAGTGAAATCATATGGTACTTGTCTTTCTCTGACTGGCTTGTTCCACTTAGCATAATGCCCTCCAGGTCCATCCGTGCTGTCACAAAGAGTAAGATTTCCTTCTTTTTTACAGGAACATGCAGTTGTGAAATTGTTAGTAACCCTGCGTATAATTGCAAGGTAGTTAGATCAAATTTACCTAATATATAATAATGTTATGATGCTTAATATAATATTAATTATAGCACAGTCACATAAACTTCATAAATCATAACTGGTGGCTATAACCTCATTTCATCCAGTATTTTCTTTTAAAACCATAACCTGTGCAAGTAAAAGTTACCAATGTCTATTCCTTATTTTGTGGTCTAAATCTATGAAGTGAAGAAATCACCCTACTCCTCATTTAATAGACGTGATGCCTTTACTATATTGTATATTTCAGATAACTTTTCTATTGTTTTTTATCGCTCCTCTGGGAAGGAGAGCACCTGGGTATGTATCACTAGGGGAAAACCACAGAAGTGGAGGTCCCTGAAAACTTAAGCCATAGAACCTATGCTCGTTTATTGCACTCAGAGTGTATCAGGCAACAGCACATGTAAAGGCTCAACTGCTTTTTAGAAGTTTGGAGAGAAGCAGTTGACGTTCAAATGCTGCCACTCATTCATTCAGTCAACATCTACTTATCAAACACTTGCCAGGTATCACCTGACTACAACCAAATAGGAAACAAGACATCAGCTATATCAACAACTCAACAAAGCCCTAATTAGGTCCCCAAAAGGTAAGAGATGGCAAATTGGGTAATTTTAGTAAAGTGTAATAGCAAGAGGATTATTTACGAAAGTGTGGGCAAAGTCGAAGGGCAATCAGAAGAGGTAGAGTAGTATCTCAGGGCCAGTTGCAGCTGTTTCCAAGCCCAGGCCCACCTTAGGAACAAGAGGAGAGAACCGTGATGAAAAACCAGAGAGAGACAGAACTGTTGGGACAACACCACGTGGGAGGAGCCATCCCATCCAGTTCAGGGATGCAGCCAGCCCACCAAACACCTTGAAGGAGAGATCTGGGAGAATAAATACCTCGGTGTCACTCTCTTCCCTTGCTCTGGTTTCCTGCTGATGTTTTCTGTTAGCTGAACAGAGGGGCAAGGGAACAGACTGATGTCAACCATACAGGATAGCCTGCCCCATGCACAAAGCAGGGTAGAAAAGGATGGAGAGTGTTCTGGAGGGACAGACAGTATATCCAGCAGAACCCAACACTCTCAGCTGTAGGGCTTCCCCGGTTAGAGATTCTGGAGTGCAAGACATGGGCCTGGAAGCATAGGGGAAATTTCCCTTTCCTGCCTCTTAATCTAAATGACTGAACAGCAAAACAGATTGGAGTGCATTGAGCCTGCTAACCACATGGACAAGGAGCTGGATCTGAGAGTGTGATTATGACTGGACTTCCCTTAGAAAGAGGTCCTCCCAGGCTCCCTCGGGGCAGGGAGCAGGAGGGACCTGACTGCACCCGTATGAGAGAAAATGGGCCAAAAACTTCGATTTCTGACTATATAGCATAATAACACACATGCACACAAACACACACAGTAGTAACATGTGATCTAGTGGATGTCTGGGTTTCTGACCAATCAGATTAACACCCTTTAGTCTCCTGTAGAAATGAGGCTCCCTCGGCACAGACTTCTGAGGTAAGACGAAATGCGATAATTCCTTTACTGAAGGATGGGGACACTATTGAAAATGAGTCAGAGTTTGCTTGAGGAAAAATTAAACCTCTTGCTAAATGAAGCTCTCCCCAAAACCCAAAGGGGAAGATCTCAGAAATTAGGTCTGAGAACTGAAATCATAAATTACTGTCTTCGTTAGCATGACGTTACGACGCCATTGTCTTTATCAGCATGAGTTTACTATTCCAAGCAACGTTGTCCAGGAAGATAAATGTTGCAAACCCACTTTAAAGTGCTTGACTTTTCGACAGAGAGCATGAGGTGACTGTTAATTCTTCTCCATGAGTTTTGGAACCCTGATCTCACTATGCTCCCCCCAGTGCCACACCGTTGCATCAGGACCCTTGCCCAGTCCTGATCAAGCCTCCACACTGAAGACCAACCTGGAACTAGACTCCAGCACCTCACAAATTCCCCAACTTTGCCCTCACCATACCTAAAGGCTAGAGACTCCATCAAGGTAGTTCCCCTCGCCTACCTACGTGAGCAATAAAGTCAGCCTTACCTTACCGACAGGGGGTTTTAGTGATCTTTCCAGGGAGCCAGCATTCCACGGGCCCTACCCAAAGGCCCTCTCAAGAGCCCACGTCCAGTTTTTAACCTGGCTTCCCTGACCCCTAGATGTCTGCCCCCGCTCTCTGGAGGGGCAGGGGTTCCTACAGCTGGAGCCAAGCTCCAATTTCAGTGGCAGCAGCAGCACCATGGCTCTTGTCATTGCCCAAGTTCCACCCAGAGGAACCTATTCTGCCCAGCTCACTGTATCACGACGACCTCAAAATTGAATGTACGCAGATGTCATTTTCACATTGGATGTGGAGTTCACTTCTCACCTACACTGACACAAAAATTCAGCATTTCTTTCTGGAATCCAAACGCAATTCTACCCTTACTGAGTGAGCACTGTTGCAGATTTCTGATATTTTGGAGGGGGAGAAGGACGACTGAGTTCACATTCATTCAGCATGAATCATCTAACTCCAGAGACCGCCCTTGGCCAGGTCTCTTCAAAGAACTGCCTCCTGGCTCCCCCTTGTGTCTGACTCTGACGCCCAGAGAATTCCACTCCCACCCTCCTTCCCCTCCCTTGTTTGTCATGCACTGTGGGTTCTGACTCCAACTTGAGGCCATCTAGCAATTTTTTTCGACAAAGATATTCTCTTACCACAAGAATTATTGCACTACCATTAGGAAAATAAAAAATTCACTGAACATTACATTTGTGGCTAGGGCTAACCCTAACCAAAGAAATTAAAAACAATCTTAATGTCTACCCATGGGGATCAATATTAGTAAGTCACTATATCATGATGACAAGGGATAAGGTAGATGCATATGTACTCACATGCAAAGGCCCTCAAGACATACTGTTAAGTGTGTAAAACAAGTTGCTTACAAATATGTATAATATGATCCATTTTATGTTAAAATTTTTAACACACACATGCCTTCCCATCATTTGTGTGTGTGTGTGTGTGTGTGTGTGTGTGTGTGTGTGTGTTACAGAGGCTAGCTTGTATAACTCACCATTCTAAGACCTGACAAAATTAGGAGCTTCCCTCTGAGGAGCAGACCTGTGATTCTTGTAACAGCGCCGTTATGGGTTGGAATGTGCCTCCCCCACCCCAAAAAAACATTTGTTGAAGTTCTAATCCCCACTACTTCAGAACAAAATATTTACTTCATTCATAAATCTTCAGGCTGGGCAGGGCTCAGAGAGAACAGCACATTTCTGCTCCACTGAGCATAGCAAGGGTGGCCCAAAGACCATGATCTAGAATCAGCTGAAGGCTTGACCATACCTGTGCTGGTGCCTGAACTGGGAAAACTTGAACAGCTGGAGCCTGGCAGAGCTAAGAGCTCCTTGGGCATCACTATCTCCCAGTGGCCCCTCCACGGGGTCTCTCAGAACAGCAGCTTCAGGGTTGCTGGCCTTCTTACATGCAGCTCAGGGCTCCCTACGTGTCCCAGAGAAAGAGCCAGGCAGAAACTATGTTGCTGTCTATGACCAACCATATGCTGTGGGTTGAAGCACTTAGGAAGGCCCAGCCCAATTCAAAGGAGAAGGAAAAAACAGACCCCTCGTCTTGGTAGAGGAGTGTCATGTCACAACAGAAAAACAACAGGTGGGATGGGGTACGCATTGGTGTAGCTATCCTTGGAAAATACCATCCACCGTACGCCCTCTTCTAGGATGTCAGCTCCATGGGGCAGGGAGCTGCTTAGCCCAGCGTATGTCCAGAACCTAGAGGAGCTCCCGGCACGTAGGTGCTGAATCACAGATGATCATGAGCTGCCTGGAGGCGGGAGATAAAAGGTGGCACCAGTCCCAGAATCAGAGGCTTCTGCGGGTGACACAAACGGGAAAAGAAGCTAGGTTTGCGAGAGCCGAGGCCCAGTAAGTCATCAGCAGGATGGGCTGGGAGGTGGACCAGGAGGAAAGGACATGAGTGTCAAGCCAGAAGCATGATCAAATGATAAGTTCACAGCCAAAGTCAAGTAAAATTAATTTTGCTTTTAGCCTGAACTTTTAGGGGTCTACTTAGGCCCAAAGACATATTAAAACTCCAGCCTCAGTTCAGTATAAATCAGCAACTCCCTGGTTCTTCTCACTTATCACTTACTGGCCTGCATGGAGAAAGCAAGAGAAGCTATGAAACAATACTGATGGTAGTAAACTAAACCTTTGACCTTTCCAAGGGGGTGCTGGTAAATGTTTAAAAACTAGCTCTCCAGAATAAGGGGAAAAGAACACTAATTTGTAATATTTGCTGTGTTCATGATGTAAGCACTCTCACCATGGTTGATTTCAAGCCACCAACTGACCTCACTGACTGTTTATACCAACTGACCTCAATGAATGTTTACGAGAAGAGATATGCACCATCAGCTCTCTCAAACCTGTGCGCGGCTCCAGCACAGCACCCGGCCTTCCACTTCCCACATTCCTGAAAGAATCAGCTATGCTTAAAGGCCCAGCTGCGTGTCTCTCTCCTCCAAGGACATGAAAGTGACAGAACAGCTTGCCTCTACCATTGTCAGGGAAAGAGAAGGAAGGAACAAGTGCTCCCAAAGATGGGGTACTCACACCTTTCAACTCTCAAGGTATCAGCATCTTGCATGATGAAGTGTCAGGGAGTCCTAACGTTGACGTGCATGCTCACTAGCACTGCACTCCCATGAGAGTAACAGAAACCGCCCCCCCGCCCACTGACAGTGGCTGAAGCCAGTAGACTTTTTTTTTCCTCCCATCACGAAATGCCTGGGAAGGACAGACCAGGGCCTCAGGGAGCCAGCTCCTCCTGTCTTTCTACTCAACTATCCATCCTCCTTCTTGTCACTGTGTGGGCAGAAGACATCTGCTCCACTTTCAGCATCGTGCTGTGTTTCGGGAAAGAACAACAAGAGTGTGAAGGACAAAGAACACATGGCACGCCAAATGAACCTGACCCTTGATAAACAGCCGACTGGGAAGCCCTATCCATGACTTCAGCTCACCTCCCATGGGCTGGACTCACATCGTGTGATCACCCTTCCCTTTAAGAGAGGTTGCGAAGTGGAGCACTTTCTCACCCCACAAAAGTGGAGTTCTGTTAGGCAACTCAAAGTATTTGTCACAAACATAAA